TTCGGGCTAGGCAGCGGTACTCCTACGAAGACAAAGGATTCTGGAAAGCAACGGGTCGGAAGGTGCATTGCTGTATTATTAACCCATTCCGCAGAAGAGGGGGAGGTAAGCAATTTCGACGGAATTGTCTGTCCATAACTTCGTAAATGTCGCATTTGCGTAGGGCTGGTGAATTCAGTTTGACAGTTTTTGGCGGTCTACCTTCGGGTGATGCGTCCTGTTACGGTCCATATTTTTCCACTTCAGGAATTCAAGCCAGACAGTGCGAACGAACTTCGGGCTCCTTCCCACACTGATAATTTTCAAAAAGCAGTGAAGCTTCAACAAATGATTAATGAATAATTGAACAACTCCTTGTGCTTTAACTCCGCTCGAACATGGGATGAAGTGCGCATGCACGGTAGGTTTATCCATAACAGCATAGATGCTATGGCAGCCTTTCACATATAGTAAATCCACGATGAAATCCACAGGTATATCCCTCCATATCCATTCAAAAATCTGAAGATTCTGCAGGAGTCCGCGTTGGAGAATGTTCCACCGCGTATGCTTCTGACGTTAGGGGCAACTGAGGACACACTCCTCCGCTGAGGCTTGCACACTGGGGCACCAAAAGGAACTACCCACTTTTGTGTTGGCCAGTCCATGGACAGCTGAAGCCGGATCTTGCATTTCCATTGCGAGGCGATGCTGGAACTCATAGCCGGAGGAGTCCACGCTTTGCCTGGCGCCACAAGATCGCCGCCCATGTTGCAGCGTTGAAGCCCTCTTTTCTTTTTGAGCTCAGCAAGAAGCTCACCCGCTTGAGTATTTGTGTGGAATGAATAAGGTAACTTAGCGCAGTTGCAGGCCACAGCGCTTGCCTTGTAGGGGGTCGGGAGAGTGCGTCACCTTGGTGGCACCCTCGATGTACTTGACTGCGAAGCCGTACTGCGCGAGCTGTCAAAACCACTAAGCGGCCTTTTCACTATCGTAACCTTGGATGCTCTTCGCCAGGTGCATCAGGAATTGGTGACCTGTTTGGATGGCAAAGCACCTGCCACATGAGTTTTCTTACCACTTTTCTAATCCTCTTGGAGCTCCTGCTAAGGTACCAAATAATTTTGCTGTCCTTCAGTTGGAGGATATACGTAGCAGGCGGCCATCTGGTGATTTTACGTCATGTTGGTTATATGGGGGAGCACTATTCGAACCGCTGTTTCACTGGCATCGGTTATTAGGAAGAAGGGATTGCCATACTCAAAGACCGCTAGTACAGGAGGATGTATGGCACCTCATGAATCTGTTGGCGTGTTCGTCGTTGTTTGTCCACGCAAAGCGTTTTCCCTCCCTGAGTAGACCCGTTGCAGGGTCAGCAGTACAAGCGAGTCCACTGGTGAAGTTGCACCAGTACGATGGAGGACCGCGAAAATTTTGGACCTGTGTGCGAGTGTACAAGAGTAGCGGCTGCCTCTGAAAATATTTTACAGTCGCCGGAGGCAGTTCGACCCCTGGCGCGCACACACGGAACCCTGGAAAGTAAATTGCTTGCATCAAAGACGAACATTTACTTGCTTACACAAATCACTCCTTTCCAGGTAACAGTTGCAAAACACGCCGTAGGTGCGGGCGGGGGGCCATAAGCATCCAAAGCAAGCCTAGGATTATGCAGTGGTGAACTGGACCGACCTAGGCGTCCCGTATTATCGTAATTTGTCCAATTTTTGAATTGGGTCAGTTTTCCACGCCCGTCTCTTTGCCGATTCTAGTGCCCTGCCTACCATCCACGAAGTGTAGCAGCAAAGGATACACCAACGAATAGGCACGTAGGCTGCACTTCTTTGCCGTAACTTTAGATATCAGATCCACTTTGCAGTTTGTGCCAAGTAGAATAGCAACTGCGCTGCGCTGCCTGACAAAAGCGGCGAAGCGATTCGTATTAATGATCAGCAGGACTGTGCCGCTGATCATTAATACGCGACTGGCTATTCCCTGATCACTCGGTTTGCTTCCCTCCCGGCGCTGCTCAAAGCCGGCTTGTGCAATATCCCAGCCCTTGCGACGTGCTTGATATCCGGGATAGTGCGGCGTTCTTCTCTTCAAGAGAAGTAGGTGCGCTCCGAGGCACTTATTTCTGGGGGCCGAATTTACCCGTTGCCGTCTGTTGCCACTGTCTATCCTTTTCTGGGTGCGGCTCGCATCCACAGCGCCAGTTTTCATAGGCTCAATATCCGGGCCGTTCTCAAATCCGTCTACTTCCTTTCCGTCTACGGCGGTAAACGCTGCGTTTTTATCCGCTTCGATGCGCAGGCAGGTACTTTATCATCTCGTCGTCCCGTCTCCGTCGCATACGCTTGTATCCGGGACCGCTTGTGGTGCATCCACTGACACTTAGGCCGATGGTTGAACACTTAGTTGGCCCACAGCAGGCAGGCTACAGGAGCGTTATATACCTGTTCAAACTTCAGAGCATGCTTCACAGGCCATCCTAGAGGGATGCCACACACCTGATGATACTGCGGGTGATCCCTGTGTTGCCCTTGAAAGACCACAACGTCTTCATGCTAATATTTTGCATTTGAGGGGAACCAGTGGGAAAGCGGTGTTTCCAGGTTGCTACGCCCTCCCTACTGGAGGACAGACGCCAGCGGTGAGGAAGCTCCTGACCGTGCGGCATGGTCACACAATTGCGACTTGTTGCAGGTTACCTTTCTTCCACAGTCGATTTAGAAACAAATAAATATTACGGTTCTTTTTGTTGCTTGTCGTACATCATTGTACACAGGGCGCTCCAGGCTGGCATACTTAGCCTAACGTAACGTGCGTAGATCTCAAGAACTCGCATGGCCACTATACCAAACCCGCGGTAATAGCCTCAGCTCGTGGTACTTTTCTTTTCATGACAGAATGCTCTTGAATATGGCCTTCTATTGGGGATGAGACTAACGCGAAGAGGGTAGATCGCTGGGTAATGTGACCGGTGCTTGCAGGAGCTTCCTCAGTTGGTGTAAAAAGCTGCCCCACTGGGAGTCAGGGACTATTAGCCCAGTCGTGGTGGGAAGTATCGGGACAGCTGGGGCTATCGGAGACTGAGCTTCTTCTACGAGGGTTTTGCGAGGAAAAGATCATTGGGTACTGCCCAAGATACTCATTATTTACTGTTAGATTATTAAAATGCTCCCTTCCGAAGTCTTGTCACCATGCGCAGGGCAATAAGTGTATTGCAGTTTACTCTTGACGGCACTCTTTCTCCGCTCATCCCGCGAAGGAGTTGCAGAGAAATTTCCTACACGCCGCCGCATGCGGCCCCGTCGGCAGCTTCATCCCCCCGCAGTGTCTAAACTGTATTTTGCAGAGGGGCAGGGAGGGGGAGGGGCAGCGTCTCGCTGCGGTAAAGTTTTGCGATGGGCGAGCGGGGGCGACGGTGGGGGGACTCGTGGTGGCGAAAGGGAGAGCTATCTTATCCTCTCCTTTAAATTGAATGCCCATCGCATTGTAGCAGCCTTTTGTGCATCGGATAGATGTTAGAAAGGAGTTGTGATGGTAAGTGCACGTAAAGAGTCCTGGAGGTATCCTTCTCTAATTTTCCACGCCCGGGCACAGAAACCCAAGTTTTTTTGAGTTTGTTCAGTAGAAGCGAAGCGCTCGCCCTTCACCATCTGACAGATTTGTTGCGTGTCGCTAGGCTGAGATGGATCCTATCCGCAAACCACTTATCGACAAGAACCCCTTTCAGCCACCGTTCTGCCCAGACGGGCGGTCTTAATTCACGATAGAGTCCAACCGTTTCTCCATGCTACGACCATCTGCCGGCAAGCAATTCGCATCGGCATTAGTCCGTCTGCAACCACTGTTGGACCGTAACCTTATTGGGAACAACCCGCATGCACGCTACATGTAACAGGGCAATACACCGGGAAGGGCTCTGCCAACTGTACGAACTTGGCCCAGTCCATAACCGGAGTGGCAAGTTACCCGTCCTCTAGGTAGGCCATGGTTGCTATGTAAGGCGCAAAAACTGTAGCAGCCCAGCACACCGGTAGGCGTTCCGCTTCGGAGGGAATTCTTCCAGCGGCCTCCAGTGAACGTGCAACTCATGGGTAGTCTCGTGCCAATAAACAGCGTTGTTCTGAATGCCTCACTCCCATCCCCAATAGGGTGGCCTGTTCCCAGCCAGAGTCCTACTCCTTCGAAGCCTTGATGGGCAAACCCGCACCCAGCACAAAACAGTTCTTCTAATTCCATACAGGATACAAACATATCACCCATCAAGCACACAATATTAGGAAGTGGTAGCAGCCATCGCATGAGTGCTGTGGAAAGAGGGGTCTATTTATGAAGACTTCAGGCATCCTAGTATGTTGGCGCCATTTGTTGTCCTACCGAACACCCCAGTAAGTTCGCTATTCGGCAGGAACAACTTCTTTGTTGAACCCATCGTCCACCTCACTAGTGGGCAGTACAAAAATCCAGGCAACGAGCCCACAGAGACAACGGGGAACGCTATTCGCAAGGGAAAATGCGTATATACTTGTCTACTTGCGAAAAGCCTCCAACAACTCGACGCTCTTCAGGCTTCTGAGGCGTAGAAACACTGAACGATCCCGTGGGCAACTGCCGCACGAACCGTGGAGGAAATGACGGTCTCTAGGTATCCTTGAATCTCTATACGATGAATCCATTCGAAACCTATGCATCTCTTCGTGAAGGGCATCGCATGATGGGGGGAGCAGATGGATTCCACTCACTCCCTTGCCCTCAACCCCACCTGCCCAACGCTCGAAAATGCGAGGCAGCCGGAGGTCAACTCACGCAGCACCTTCTACAAAGTCGGATGCTCTTAATATTGCTTATGCGCCATGCTTCTGTTGTTTATTTTGGCTACGGGGAGCTACAACTACCAGGCTGGGCCCCCCAACCGAAAACCCGCACGGTAGCTGCGGCAGCGGCTACGTGGTTGTTGGTGCTTTTGTCGATACGGGCCCCAATTCCGGCTCACCCTTTGAGCATGGACGCTAGCCATGCGGATATGCCTGTCAACATCTTTTATATATGGAGGTTCTGAGAGTCTTTTTTTTTCCAGCGGCTCTCCCTGCTTCCCCCCCACTCCCCCGTTGAGTCAGGGGCCCACAAAGAGGGGCCATGCCGCGCTGCAGGGTAAAGGCGGAGGAACTCAAGGTTTTGCGTCAAATACTAGCGCGCAGACATCTCTACGAAAGAGGCATTCTGTAGACATCATGGTGCCGTGGGGGCTCTCGGGGGGCCCCGCGTTCCACCCCGGCCGCTTTTGGGTTCTTTGGCTGCTTTTCATCCTAGCCATACAGGCGCTCAGAGTAAGAACCTTGGAACAGGACTTCCACAGCGTTGATAACAAACCTTCGGGTGATCATGGGGATAAGTTGGGTGGCCACCAGGAGCAGGGAGGGGAGCAGCGTGAGGCACATCAACAGCAGCCTGATTTCGAGGGGCAGGAGGATCCAGAGCAGGAGCAGAAGCAGGGATTTGAGTTACAGGAGTACCAGAAAGATGACTTACAAGTGGCGGATGCAGAGGAGGAGCAGCAGCAACAACAGCAGGAGCTACAGTATCAAAAGGGAGTGGGTCAGAGCTTTCAGTTGCTTGAGGATATGAAGGGTACGGATTCGGAGTCTCTTGCTACTGCGACGGTGCAGCTTCAGGGGCTATTAAAAAGTCTAGAAAGGTGTCGAGGGGTAGAGAAGAGCCAGCAGGGTATGGTAGACTCCATTCAGCGGGCGTTGAAAACTCCCCAATCGCCTTCGCCTCCTACACCAAGTCCAGGAGCCGCTGGGAGTTCCGGGGTGCAGGGCCCGGCCAATCACCTCAAGAGGAAAACCATGAAACTGCACTTGGGGTTTGCAGAGACAGCGGCTGCAACGGTCATAGGCAGGAGGGCAGACGACGAAGACGTGAGGATTTTATCTCTCCCCTTTCCGCCTCTAACCCCTAAGGTCGATTGGGGTCGATTGGGATCAGTTCATATTGGTATATGTGATGGTCTGCATTGCGGGCTTGGGATCAATCTTAATTTTGGTTGCGTTGCAGGCTCTACTGCTCTCGGCGCCGCTCCCCGGGAGGCCCAGTTCATTCATTACGGGTTTATTCGATGGGCACGGCGGTCACGTGGTCGCCCGTAAATGTTCAGTCCTCGCGCCGACGTTCTTTGGTAGGCTGGGGTCGGCAGATGGGAGCTGGATTGAGGTCGACAGTTTAGTTGTTTCAGTGTCTTGCCGCTATGTGGATTCTACCTAGGATGTTGTTGTAAACCCCCGCCTAGGGTTTTAGTTGTTCATTTGCTAACTGCTTGGAGTTGGTTACAGAGGATGCCTTCTGGCCCTCTCGGTTTGCCTGTGTGCTGACGCGCGCAGGCAGGATGCCGGACTTTTCAGGGAATTCGTTTGCTGAGGCGAGCTTCGCCCTCGACGCCGCACTCCGCAGCGATCCGGAAATACCAATTGGACCCGGCTCGACAGGTGCGGATGAGTCTCCTGTTCCCTTCCTTCTTTCGTGTAGTTTCTTTCTCCTTCGCGAAGCCAGGGGTTTTAGTCTGAGCTTCCATTTTATCATGCATGCCTTGTGCCTTTCGGTTCCGGCCTCTATTGTTGTCTCGGTGTGGGCCTTCCTTTTGCTTCTCTCTCCATCGTCCCCATCGCACGCTCAGTTTCTTAGGATACGTTAATTCATCTCTTTCCATGCTTTTGCGCGGGTTTTTTTGGGGGGTTTAAACCGGCGTCTGTCTTAATCTCGTCTGCGGCCACTTTCAGCCGCTCGGCGAGACCGGCGTGTGCTTTCCGGTATACATGGGCACACTGTATATTCAGGCCTCCTTGTTGGCTTTGCTGGTACAGGAATAATCGGCATTTTGCTCGCTGAAGACCCCGCAGTCCCTGAGTTTACTTTGCACGTGGCCAACATCGGTGAGGGGCCCATCCGCTAGTCTCCTTGAATGCATCTGTTCAAATATAAAAGGGCGAGAAAGCAAAGCCCAGAACTAATGCAAATAAATGGAAATTCACCTTGTCATTTGTTCTCGCCCCACATTTCCTCCCTCTACGGTGTCTTATGTTTCTCACCTTCGTCCGTGCTTCTGTTCGCTCCATTACCTTTCTCTCTGCCTTTTTCTCTTTTTTCCCGCTCTCACTGGTTGAATGCTACTTCTTCCTTGTGTGCGCTTTTTTTAACATAGCATGCGTTTCCATCTTTTCTTGTTTCCTTCCGTGTGGGACATGCGAGGCGTTTCCGGTGAATGTTCTCTAGCCTTCTCGTCTCGTCAGCAATAAGGGCCTTGTCCTGCTCCCTTCTTTTTTCGTAGTAGGCGCTTTGTTTGTGGTGCATGCGGCGTTGTATAGGGGACTCGCGGTTACTGGTTTTGCACACCGACGGAACCTTCACACCGATGTCGGTCGATCAGAAACCCAACGACCCCGTTGAGATGGCTCGTGTGCAGCGCGCTGGCGGCTCTGTGATGAGGACGGCGATGGGAGTCTGGCGTATTGACGGCCGCCTGGCTCTTAGTCGCAGCTTCGGAGACTTCGTACGTACAATCCCTCTCCTCCCCTGCCGAACCCTTCTGCTTTCTTTACGTCTCCAGGTTTCTGGATACCTGGGGGTGCGGCTTTACGCTGTCTTGTCACCTCTTTTCTTCGCTGTGCTTGGAGCTTGCTTGTGGGGGGTTCTCTGGGGCAAAGCGCTATCCGCTTCCACTTTTAGGAGCTGAGGGAGAGGGGCCACGGGCTCGATATTGCCGCGTTTGTCGAGTCTGGGTTTGTTCCTGCCATCAGAGGATGAAGGGTAGGACGGACATTTTGCCCTCACAGCAGAAGGTGGTGGCCTTGCCACACGCCAGGACCATTAAAGTGAAGGCAGGGGATATCTTGGTCTTCGCTTGCGACGGTGCGGAGGGTCTTTGGGGTAGCGGTGCGGGTTGGGGTCTGGCTGATAAGGAAGGCGGTGTTGTAGATTGGTGGGTTTAGGGCTTATGTCCCGGTGTTGGGGTTCACGGTTAAGCTGTTTGTCTTGGTTTGTCTGAACTACAGGTGTGTTCGAGGCTCAAGGGATGACATGGAAGTTCGTCGCGAGCTACGTGTCCGCTCAACTCGAGGCAAGTGGTTTTCCGTATCGGCGGAGGTTGCTTCGGGTTTGCTGGGTTGGGCTTTTCTGTCCTGTTTCTCATTGTTCCGACGTGTTGTGCTTTGTGGTTGCTGCCTGTGCAGGCCACTGGGGGGAACTTGGAGGAGACTGTGTCGCGACTAATCAGTACTGCCTATTTAATGGGCAGTGGCGACAACATCAGCGCAATGATTATCAGAATTAGTCCAAGGGAATTTGGAGAGCCAGCTGTCTCCGCATCGGAGGTGGACATTATGGGTGTGCCTTCCAAATAGCACAGAGCGTCAACTTTCTCCGCCGCTTACGTGTAGACAGGACGCTATCAGGGGAGAGCAGTCGCTAACCAGCGAGTAGCTAGTTTTGTGTGTAGCGGCGTAGCTAGGTAGCTGGCAGCTGGTTGACACCTGCTACTGGTTTGAGACCTAGGTATGTATCAGTTGCGGTGCGAAACTGCTGCGGCTTCAGGCGTTCGGAAGGACCTCCCGGTGATGCTTTCTTCGGAGGCGACGGTGCAGCGTAGCGGCGCTTGGGCGACGGATTTGGGTCTCTATGCGACGCTTTACTGACTCCGCGAGTAGAGCAAAAGCTGATGCAGCAGCAGCAGTTTACTTGTAGTAATAGTGCTGCTGAACAAGGTTCCTGTGGAGGGAGATCTTTTTGGAGGAAGGCGCTGCAAAAGCGCCCTGAGGGATGAGCATGACTGCAAGCAACATTATATGCGCACCTGAAGGATGAGACGCATACACTCACTCGATATGTATCCTCAGGCATTCGTCTTTTCTCCAGTCCCTGCACAGCTGCTTAGGAGTTGCAACCCAGGTCTTCCTTTCTCCTCGCAGCCTTCCTGTTGGCTCTTCTCACTTGTGCAGTTAGCAGGCGGCAGCTGCCTGGTTCCTTTTTGAGCGACACCAGTCTACCTGTGCAGGGACTCCACCACCGAGGAAGTAGGGGCTTGGTAGGTCTTTATTTGCCGAGTTATGGAGGCCCCCGCAGGCGTTGATGCGTACCTGGCTGAAGGTGTCGGGCCTGAGCAAGCAGCCCATGCACCGTCTCCTCCGTTTGACTTTGTGCCGCTAAGATGGACGGATTGCTAGTAGGCCGGCTAGCCGGGGCAGTCTGCGTGACGGTCGGCGTTACGCCCGACCCACTTTAATGAACTGGTAGTGGCGTTTCCACTCCAGACCCTTCCACTCTAAAATGGTGATGTTTCATCCTACGTCTTCGTGTGTTTCCAATTTCTTTCACGTTGTGATAGTGACGTCTTCATTCCAATCTCCTACACATAATCATTGTGGTTTTCATTCCGACCTCCCCTACTATGCAGTAGGGATGCTTCCACTATAATTTTTCCGCACAATGTAGTGGTGGCTTCATTCCAATTTTTTGAGCGTAAATTACGTAGGAACTGCGACTTCGACGTGCGGGGCAGTGCGTAGAGCGCAAGCTATTTAGTCGTTTCTAGCCTAGCTTCCTCTGTCGGCCCCTACGCCTCTATTGGCCGTTACTGCGTCACTGTGACTACTTCATCGGCGCTGGAGGGAGCTGCTTGTGAGTTTGTGCTACTGCGCTGACGTTTAACTCCGTCCCTCTGGGTTCTTTCGTTGCAATCAGATTCAAGACAAAAAAAACATGCATATCAGGGGCGGCCGAGGACTGCGCACAACCTGCTCTGTATTAACGTGCCCTCCCCCCGCCGCTCATTTGATGCTTCCCAACCCAAGAAGCACAGCACCTCTCATTGAAACTGAGGGAAGGTCGCGCTCTAGTGATTCCTGCCCCCCTGCTGTTCCTGCTGCGGGTGTTGCTCCTCCCCTTGCCGGTCCTGTTGATGTTGCTGTTCCTGCGGCTGCTGTGGCTGTTCCTGTTGCTGCTCTTGCTGTCCCTGTTGGTGCCCATGCTGCTCCACCTGCTGCTGCTGGTCCTCGTGCTGCTCCTGTGGCTGGGGCAGCTTCGGCAAGTCCGCCTGCTCCTGCTGTTCTTGCGTCTCCTCCTGCTGCACCTGGTGAAGCTGATGTTGCACCTCGTGGCTTTGCTGGTGCTCCTGTCGAGAAGGTTGGTGGTGCCTCCCAGCTTGCATACGTAGGCGGCAGCCCACCCCTTGATGCGGGAGCCCTGTAGCAAAGCTCTCAAAGCCTGGCGTCGCCTGTACAGGCATGCAACCTGTCAGAGGATGCCTAGGAGTGGTGCCTCCTCTATGTGGGGGCCGGGGTAGGACGCTGGGGAAGCCGTCCTCGTAATCCAGGCTGGACTTCGCGGTGAGTTTGGGCTCTTTCATCAGCAAGGTGTCGCCTTTGTTCGCCCTCTTTGCTGCCTCCTTGCCATCCCCATGAGGCACTGAGGAGCTCACTGACTGTTTAAATAGACGCAATCGGCCTGACGCCCGCCGACGGGGGGGGCCATCTCTGGCAGTATTTGCGCTGCCGCCCTGTCGACTTTTGAAGAGACTGCGGCGACTCCGTTTTCTTCCTGGTGCAGTTGTTGCAGCTGCTTGCTGCGCAGCACCAGCATCCTCTCCACTCCGTCCTGTTTGCCCTACTGCTGATGCATCGATTGCTGCTTCTGCGTCGCTATCATCTTCTTCAGCGAGCGTCGCATTTCTCGAGGTTTTCTTTTTGGATAAGCCGCTCCCCAGTGCTTTCCGTCCCTTCTTCTTCCCTGCCTTGCTGCTCCCTGCAGCATCCCCAGCACCGGTGCTGGTACGCTGGCCGTTATCTTCTAAGCTGCTCGCAGTGCCATCCTCGCTGCTTTCTGCCGTTGATTCACTGCGGCTAGAATGGAGGAACAGTCTCCTCGTCCCCTTCGTGTGGCTGCCTCCTGGTGTCGACGCCTTAGCAACGCCTGTATCTGCTGAACTCTCTGCGGCGGCGCCACGGTCAGAATTAACGCTGTAGAAGCCCGATCGGCCGGCGGGCCTACGACGGCCACGATGAGAAGCACGAGGCCCTAGAGCGCGTGTGTCTTTTGCGGCGAGGGAGCCCAGGCTGGAAGTGTCACCCAAAGCAGCCCAGGGGATTCGTTCGAGGCCACCTTCTTGCAAAAGGGGTAAAATGAGCACCACCAGCCACACGTAACGCCCCCCAAGACCCATCGTCGCTGGGGCAGCTGTCCCGTGCACTCGTGGTGGGGTATAGGAGTCGGGAGAAGGGCAAAGCTAGCCACCAACACACAAAGCTGATGTGGACACAAGCACAAGGAGACAAGCGGAAACTGTTCAGTCTGGGCACCTACTAAGGCACATGGGGTATAACCGATCGGCAGGTGGTCGGCCGGTTGACACTGTTGACTCTGTGGGAAAAGGTCCCAGGTTTGAGGTGCAGGAGTCACCTCTTGTAGAGACATGCAGTGGCACTATGGACACCAGCACACCTGCAAAAATTACAGGAAACACCAGGCCACAACACTCCTTGTACACTCCTTGCGCACGACTGTACTCGGCAATCCTGGGCTCCTCTCCAGGGCGGTTGCGCCCCCAGGCTTCGTCTCCGAGCAAAGTTGGCAAGGATGGAAGACGAAAAGACATTTATATTATAGACTGCACTGTTCCACACATAACTACTGAGAAAGAAAAAAAAGCTCGCGGGCAAAGGAAACCGCCGCCACGCGCTCCCTCCTGTGTGCCTTTCCTTGCAGTCATGAAGATGACCACCGGTGCAGGTTTCACCGAACCCCTCTCGTCGGCGGCCTGTAGTAAAGTACTCGTATTACCTTTTCTTCCTTCCCATAAAGCTACAAACACTATAAATATCTAAAGATCCAGCATATTTGTGAATGCATATTCAGATATTCGTGCAATTGTGGGGGGCCCGGGTGCATCCGTCCTCTGCGCCCCCTGCCGAAAACAACGGGAAGCCGCCAGCTGCATCGTGCTCCAGGCGAAAATTCAGTCTTCCCATGGTTCATTAGACGTTGGGGAGGGCGTTTTGCACTTCGGGCTTGGTTGTGTTTATGAAACTCGCCAGTGGATGGGATACACATCGGCGTGACATCCACACGGGGCTGAGCGAAGTTGCGACCGTTCCTACCAGTCCAAAAAGCGTACAGGAATGGTGAATCAACCTAAGGAGTGCGAAATAAACTATTATTTACGAGGGCTTGAAATAGGGGTATTGCGTTGTGAATCGTGCGGCAGTCACAGTGTATTGAGGGATAACAGGTAGTGTACAGGGAACTCCACGGAATTTTCCGATTACATGGGGCCCAAGGAAGCGTGCTCCCCCATCACTCAATTTGAGCGTTTTCTAGACAAAATATACTTTTCGGACCGCATTTGCTACAGTTTCATGATGGACGGCAGTATCGGCCGAGAACACCCTTCTCTACTTCAGCTGGAGCTCTTGAGGAACAGCACTAGTTCTAAGCTGGAGGAGCTCGGGTTTTTGCGAAGAGAAACGGAGTCTTTGGAAAAAAGCTATCGGTGCAAATGTTCTGAAATCGTCAGCTTTCAGGCAGATCGTGAAGCAGCTGAAGCTGCTGTCGTTCAAAAGTTGCAGACCAACATTTCGGTTGCAGCGCAGCGAAGCACGATAGTCACAGAACTGAATTATTTGAGACATGAGATCACGATTCAGCAGAAAGAGCTGCAGACTCTCACTATGGCGGGGGGGAAGCGCAGGCAAGCAGTCGAATTTATACCTTACCGATGACGGTTAGATCCACTTCCACATTCCCCTCAGGTTGGAACTCACCACGGAATGCGAGCAGTTAATGCTAGATCTTAAATATGAAAAGACGGAAGAGGTACGGAAAGGCATTGGAACATGCCAGCAGACGACATCTTTCTCTCGGTAGCGTTTTTGCTGCTGCAGGAAGGGTACACCTTTATTGGTTTTAACGCTTACGCCTCCTAAACAGGTGCAGCAGAACAAAGCTGCGCAGTGTTCTCTGCGGGAAGCTGATATCCGCCGGGAACTAGAGGGAAAGAGAAGAACTATTGCTAGGTTAGAAGTGGAGAGTGCTGTTCTTCATGCTCAGAAGAAAGTAGGAAGATCTTGCAGTCCTGAGTCTATCCCATTTTCGGGTCACCTACGCATGCATTCCCAGGAGGCAATATCCTCGCGTTTGCGCATTCAAAAGGCCATGCATGGCCTTCAACTGTAGCTTTTGTCCTCGGGAATGTCGACAATAGAGAAGGTTTACGTCTTGCACAGGCATAGGGGAGGTCCACTCTTCATGGAGAAACAAAGAGCTCCTTTTTCGCTTTCTGGCTAGCTTCTTCAGCTTTCGACGTCAGCTTTCAGCAGGAGGTGTATCATGCGTACGCCACAGAGGCGAATACCACCAGATAGTGGCAGCCTCCCGCTAGCAGATATCCACCTGTTGCTTCCCTGACTGCCCTTAACTTTCGGGTTCTCCTTTCAATCCTCCGTTTTCTGTTACAAAATAAAGCTTAGAGGAGGGTTCAGTTGCTTCAGCTGGCCTACACTCCCACACTGCGCGTTTTGCTTGCACGCACGCACAGCTTCCGTCGTAAAAGCGTTGTTGTCTTTTAACAGGATATATCAGCGTTGATATTTAGCAGAATTGAGGCTCATGCCTTAACGCATAAGTCCAAGTGTAACGAGAATAATATCAAGCGCTTAAAGGCATGAGATAATCTCCACTCCTCACCAACCCAGGCCGTTGCGTCCGTGTCCAGCATGGATCTAGACTGTAGGGACACTACCGGCCTTTCGAATTTGTCACATTTTATCTATTTCATTTTGCATCTTCGCAAGCTTACGGGATGCGTTTTCTAAAGTGAAGACAATACGTGACAACGACAGTCGTCAGCTCATTTATAGAATTCTCGTTTCTGTAGCTGTGCCTCTTCAGATCTGGTGCACGAACAGTTACTTGACCTTAGTAGGCATCCTGCACGCAGGCAGACGCATAAATCTTGTCTACAGTGTTACTGCAAGCAGCAAGAGGGCGTTTGGTTGCGCTTGCGCGTGAAAGTGCCTTGCGATATTGTTTGCGAACCAGTGCGTTGCAACTCATGTCAGGGGACCTCCTCTCTCCAAGCCCCAGGCGCTTGGAGTGCTGCGGCCAGAACGCCAGAAGAGGCCAGCGGGTCTGCAGAAACTCTTACCTTACTTAAGTCTACTAGGTCATGACGGTCCTTGGATACGGACTCTCGTTATATTTAGCCTTTTCGTCCGAAACAAAGTCTGAGAGGGGGTGAACTGCTTCTTAGGAACTCTTACGTTGAGCGTTTTCCTCTCGACTGCAGGTAACGAGCTAACAAGCGTCGCCCCATAAGACCGCGGACACTCCGTTGCACATTTCGTCCTTTCGGCACTTCAGGAATGTGTTGTCCTGTGTGCGTAGTGCGACGGGTTTGAATCTGTGGAAAAATTTGGGTTTTTTAACATTTGCGGAAGGCAACTGCCTTGCTGATATGTGGGTTCCACACTACAGCCAGAATCGTGCATTCGAGGTGGCAAGCCGGGTAGCAGCTGTCCTGCTGAGTGTCTTGTTCGTGATTAGCAGAATTACTCTGAAACCATAGAGTGGAACTGAAACAAAGTAAAGTACGACAGCACAACAACATCATATTAAATGGTCATCTGAGGGTGTTGCACGGAAACGGGCCGTTGGCCCCACGGGAGGCGGAGGTCTCGCACGAACTCAAGACAGCTTTGTGGGGGATCTCCCATGGTTGTAGTCGGCAGTTTTCCTTCTACTGCGCTTTTTAAGTTTGTTCTATTCGGGCGTTTACAATTGTGGAACGCTTATTGGAAGCAGCGGGACGTCTTTTGTACAGAACTCGCAATTTCGGCGCAGTGTCCAGGCGGCTGACACAGGCAGCAGTGGGCAGGACCTCAATAGACATCAACATCAGGAGAGTTCAGGCTTCCATCTCCTGCTGTCTTTCATCCTTCATCGAGTCCTACCACCAGGTTCTAATCTTCTATATAAATGTGGGCGTACTGAGTAGATCTCAGAACAGGCTTTGCAGTTTCCCAGGTTTGCAAGGTGGGGCAACGCACACACAAACTGTACTGCCGTATTTTTGCTGGAAGTGGAGTTCAGGGGGCTTTCCCCCCCTATTTTTGAATAAACTACTTTGAATAAATAACGGTATCGTGTGAATGAGTGAAGTGGCACGCAGTACGTTACTACCTTGAGACAAGTGTCTGGTCTTTTGTGCCTCTGCACAGGGCAGCGCACACCACAAAGGGTGCTGTTCCCTAGGCCATAGTTTGACCCTATTCCTCTTTGTTGTGGAGGTTTTCAAATCCAGCTTGCTCTCTTCATCTATCAGCTGTCTTCAGTCAGCTCTCGGACGGCGTCAAGATGGCCTTGCCCAACTATTTGGACATCATGGGTGGCGCCAGGGGGCAAGAATGGAGTGAAAACATCCAGAGTAACTACGAAGAAAGAAACCCCCAATTCGGTGTGTTCAATACACAGGATGTTCAAACCAGTTACCTCCATGGACTGTACGGCTTCGCAGGGTTTCAGCACCAGGCAGTACCTGTTTCCTGTTGGACGTCTGCGACGCCTGCATCCTCCGAACCCCCAGAGGAGGCCCCTGAGGGAAATGTAGACGAGTGCCAGCCTCCAGTGGTGAGCAATGAGAGAAATATGATAATGCAGTTACGGGACGAAGTAACGTCGGAGTTGATCAAGTTCAGGGAATTGGCGCTATCTTGGCAGAAAGAGAAAGCCACCTTGAAAGGTAATCAGCGAGAACTTAGCAAACAGCTGACGCTGGCTCAAGACGAGGCTACAAGGTTGAGACGAGAGGTGGCCATGCTGCGAGTTGGAGAGTTGAATTGGCAGCGAGTGGGCAACGAGTTAAGGAACGCGCAGTTTCAGCTGAGAGAAGCTGCGGTGAAGCTCAAGGGAAAAGAACAGGAAATTGCCGATTTAAACCATGAACTCAGGACTGTACACCCTCGGCTCATACGACTCGGAGAAACTGAAAGGACTGTTAAGAAACTGGAGGAAGAAGTACAGAGACTGAGACCGCTAGAACGAGAACTGCAGGTAAAACAGCAGCAAATTCAACAACTTCAGGAGGAGAAATCTCAAATTCAGTTCTTGAGACTCGAACTGGACGCTTGCCAGCGCCTTTGTGAACAAATATGCTTGGCAGCGGCGAATGCAAAAGCAACAGGAACAGCAGGGGCCCCCGCAGGGGCTCCACCAGCAAGCGGAGAGGGAGGGTTTATGCTTAGTAATGGTTGCCCGAACGGTAGCGAATCCGCCCCTGAAATAAATGCAGGCCTAAGAAGGGCAACGCTATAGCCATGCCTGTATCCTCTCAGAGATGCACGACGCACAGCGATGCCTGTTTATGCCCATATGTATATACTATGTATTAAATCTTTGGGGACTGGAGGGATAATGCAGTGCTAATGTTCCCTGGTTCTTCCCGCATATATATATGCATATATATAAGTATACGATGCATGCAACTCCTAGTGTGGACGTGCATATAAACAAAACTTGGTTTTTTGTACGGTTTGATGGCACTGAAGTAATGAAGCAGTGGATGCTCAGGGTGCAGTGGCAGCACGACGGGTAGGTATGCAGAACAGATATATTTGTATAGAGGATCAGGACGGGGAGTTTATTATCAACTAGTAAAGTGAACAGAAGCGCAGGCCCCCACAAATCTCCCGTAAGGTGCAGTTCAGGCAATAACGGCGGCGGGAGCAGGGTTGGCGGTTTCTTGTGCAGTCAGCGGTCTGTAGATATATCACTGTTTAGGCTGTGGGATTTAGTTAAAGGTATTTCCACCAAAAGTTAATCCCGTAGCTTCCTCTTAGGTTCAGAGAGGAGGCCGAAATAGAGGAGGTGGCAGCACCACTGCCTGTCGGGCTGGCCCCCCCGGGTAGGTCTTTGTTTGTTTCGGAACAAGTGGCCACTTCGCTCTTCTCCTAATGCCAAGACCTGCACTGAAATTATCTTCTACATTCTTTCCTACTTGTCTATTTCGTTTTCGCCTCCCCTGCTGCCGCAGAGGCGCCCGGGGCGCGCAGGACCAGGGTTCGGGGTGTAGGGTTCAGGGTTTAGGGTGTAGGGTTTAGGAGTTCATCGCGGACCTTCATGGGGTCTTCGTAGCAGCACTTTTTTGCTCCGCAGGTACTTCAAACCGTGGCGTCCATCGGCGGTGAGGCCGCAGCAGTATCAGCAGCAGCAGCGGCAGCAGCAACAGGAGGGGTAGCATGGCGGAGACAAGCCGCGGGGAGCGGTCCGTTGTGGACGGCCCTGCTACAGGTGGCAGCAGCGGCAGCATTGGTGGGGGTAGTGGATCTGGAGTAGCAGCACCAGCAACCCCAGCAGCACCACCGGCCCCGGCTGCAACAGCAGGAACAGCAGCAGGAGAAGCGGCAGGAGGTAGAGGGGATTCTGTCAGGGTCTCACAGACTCGAAGTGGGGGTGGAGGAGAGATGGAGTTGAGCTCATCTCCCTCTGTACGCGACAGCGGAGTGGAGTCCTTTCTTAGGTCCGACACCGCGCGTATTGTCCCCCAGGCCTTAGACCCCTCAGCTTACCCCGACAATGTGGAAATGGAAATACTCGAACGCCTAAGTAAAAGCCAGGTTGGCATATATATTATTTGCAAGATATGTTATGTAACGTCATATAATGGATGTATAAGTTGTGTGTATGTAACTGCAGGTGCTGCTCTAAAAAATATGTATCTTTAAGCATGTGTATAATGTGTATATATTATTAGCGGCAGCAGAGGTGGCAATCCACGTAAAAGTGCAGGCAGCGGAGGCACAGATGAGTTACAACCAATTTTACTGTTTGTGTAGATTGGGCTGCTGGTGCTGCTGCTGTTAGGTGAGCCTTAAAGAGTTGGTGGAGTCGGCTAGGAAAGCCGATCCAGAGGCGTTCCGCAAGATGGTGACGGCGACAGAAAAGGAATTTCCTACTTCCGGAAAAAACCGATTTGCGTCTACTCCTATTGAGGTGAGAGGGGAGTTGCATTCATTTATTCAATTATGCGAAGCGAGCGCTTAGCATTTACTCGATGGGTCTTAGGGATTACGGTTTACTGTTAAGGGTTAGGGCCACAAACCAAGCAATCGGTGGTGGGCTGGGTTTAGGAGGGAGGCTAAGGGTTTAGCGTATAGGGTTTGCGTTTAAGTTGTGTGTTGGAGGTGTGTTTGGGGTTTATCGTCTACACGTTCGCTCTGAACCCTTAACCTTAGACGGTTTAGTTGAGGGGTAGGCTTAAGGGTTAGGCCTCTAGGGTTTAAGATTTCGGGGTTATAGATGTTTAGGACTTAGGATTAGGGGATGGGTTGAAGACGAATAGGTTTATGGTTTTGGGTTGATTGACACTTTATGCTGTGCGTTCAGCAATTGGCTCGGGAGTTCGGGTGCACCGACATTAGCCAGGGTTTGACATCATCTCAAGTGGCGGCGAATCGGGAGAAGTACGGCAGCAACATGTTGGACAGGGGAGACCGTGATCCTCTGTACAAGATATTCTTGTCTCAGTTCTGGTCTCCTGTGGTGCTACTGCTGCTCGTCGCTGCTGTCGCCTCCCTCGTAATGCAGGAGTGGGTTGAGGGCGCAGCCATTCTCATCATCGTTACGCTCAATGCCTGCCTCGCCACCTACATGGAAAACAGCGGTGAGAGAAGAAAATAGGCGACACGAACATATATATATAAGCATGCTTCTGTGTTGTATGCTGGCATGCGCATATATATGCGCATGCATAGATATATAGCATATATACATAATGCATATCTATACATATTATTCATGTATTATACACTGTAAATAGTGTAGTGCATGCATGTGGATGTACATCTCTAAACATGTATCCGTGTACGCTGTGGATCGTCTGCTTGTCTGGTTTGGTGGGAGGTCAACAGCTGCGTTCTTCCGTATCTTGTCTGTATATGCAGTAACCTAAACACAACAAAACAAAACATTATATCTCTTCGTTTGTCTCTCTCTCTCTCCCTCGTGCTTCTGAGTGGTATTTTCAAGAAAAGAAGGGCAGAAAACTGCGGAACTTGTTTTCATCTGCTCTCTTTGTGTTGTTTTGCTTCAGCAAGTACCGCCCTGGCGAAGCTGGCCAGCATGGCTGCGCCGATGTGTTGCGTGCTGAGGGAGGGAGAGGAGCGGACGGTGCCTGCAGAAGAAGTTGTGCCTGGAGATATTGTCTTCTTAGCAACAGGCAACAGCGTAGCTGCAGACATGCGGTGTATAGATGTCACAGAGCTAAAGACAAACGAAGCGATTCTCACAGGCAAGCTAACTATAACGCCAAGATGACGGCCGTTTCAGTTTCCCCCGCTGCATCTTTTCTTCGCCTTCTTGCTCTTGTTTCCTTTCTCCTCTGTTTTCCCCAAGTATTTTGTATCTCCGTCTCCTCTGCACTGGCACCTCTTTCCGGTGTTCTATGGTTTTCGAGTTGTTCCTTCGTCCCCGTCTTCGGTTTCTTCTGTGTCTTTTGACTCCCCTTGGTTTTTTTGTTTCCGATTTACTCGTCTCCGTTCCCTCCGTTGGGAACGGGCTGCTGCCGCAACCATTGCCGCTGTGGCTGCAACAACTGCTGCTGCAGATGCTGAAGCCATTGCTGTGTCTGCTGCTGCAGCCAGTGGTGATGCTGCTGCCTTGAAGGGCTCATTTCTTCTTTCTTGCGCTTTGCTTTTTTAAGTTTGTTTCCTAGATGTGTAGTCCTGTGTTCACAGGGGAGTCTGAAGACGTCGCAAAAACGATTTCTGCTGTGGACGGAGACGCCCCTTTTGCGACTAATCTTTGCTTTGCAAGTACAATTGTCACCAACGGCAGCGGTAAATGCCTCGTATACGCGACTGGCATGGAGACGCAGGTGCGTGCGGTTTTGCTCCATTGTCCCTTGCTCTCTCTCCCTCACGCGCTTCTTTCTCATTCTGTTTCTCCTCCGTTGTCCTGTTCCTCACCTGTCTTCTTCTTTATTTATGCATGCCGGCTTGTCTGTTTTTTCGTCTTCGCATATCTTGTTTGTTTCTCTGGGCGTGTGCGTCTCTGTTTTCCAGTTAATGTGATCATAGTGTGGAGGGTTGCGTTTTTATAAAAATAAAATAAAATCTTTATTTGCATTCCCATTTTCTCACTTTCTCTCGATGGAAGGCTGGAATATGACGATAATTTGGCTTCGTCTCTTCTTCTCCCCTTCCTGGTCCTTATCCTGTCTTCTTCTCTCTCGATCCTGGCTATCTCTTGGCTTCTTTTGTAGTTTGCTTCTGTCCGTTCTGTTTGTTGCTTAACAGGTTGGCCGCATAGCGACGCAGCTAAAGAAGGCAGGGGCTGCCTCGCGCCTGACTCCTCTACAGCGCGGCCTCAACCGTTTGGGTGGTCTCATTGGCCTTATTGCAATTTGTGTTCTCGTCGTCATCGTCATTGTAGCTGTCCTCACGGGATACAAAGACCCCGCACACCCAGACTCCGACCCCGTATTTACAGTGAGCAGCAGCAGCAGCAAATGGCGCTGCAGCAAATAGGGTAGCAACAACAGCAGCAGCAGTAGATGCTGCGGCAAACAGTGGAGCGGCAGTAGCAGCAATAGTATCTGTAGCAGTCGCCCCAGCGACGATGGAAAAGAACAGTGAAAGCCCTTGCAGAGTTGTACTGTCCTGAATGTGCCGCTACTGCCTTCTTCGGTGGTAGCAGCAGTGCATGCACCGGCAGCAACAACAGTAACGGCAGCAGCACCGCGAATGAGGGATGGAGAGCAGCTGGTTTGTTCGTTTTTGCAGTGGTCCATTGCTTGTTCTGCTTGCTTTACTCGTGTTTAGTAGGCCCGGTTGACTGGCGTTCGCGTTCATCATTGCATTTGGGTGTTGCTTGCCCCCTAATTTGCCATTTGTGCTCGCGTGACATTTGTTTTTTTGCGTTTATGTTTAGATTGTTCTGGTCGCTGTCGGTTTCGCTGTCTCCTCCATTCCTGAAGGGCTGCCGATGGTCGTCACCATTTGCCTCTCTTTGGGGGCCAGAGATATGGTGAGACAGACGGATTAACAAAGACATAAAACAAAACGAATGAGGTTGCTGCTGTTGCTGCTATTGATGCTATTCTCATTGCTGCAGCCGCTGTCATTGATGCTGCTGCTGCTACTATTTTTGGCGCCGCAGCTACTGCTTTTGCTGCTGCCGCTGCCACCGTTGCTACTGCGGCCATTTGCATTGCTTCTGCTGGTGGCTGCATTGTTGCCGTTGTTGCTGCTGCTGCTGTGCAGGTGAAGCGAAAGGCAAACGTACGGAAGTTGCCAGCGGTGGAGACGTTGGGCTGTTGTTCTGTTATTTGCTCCGATAAGACAGGTGAGGCTCATTCTGTGTTTCTTTGACTTTTTGAGCTTCCTCTTCGTCTTCTGTGTCTTTCATCTGCGTTCATTTGCTGCCCTAACATCCTTTCTCCCCCTGTTGCTTTCCCTGTTCGTCACTACATGTTTGTGTTTCGTTGGCGTCGTTGTGGCTTGCCCTCTCCGTCGTCGTCTTTGTTTTGTCTCCGCCATGTCTCTGCCTTTCCGTGTGTTGCTATGTCTCGGTTCTTGTATGTGCATTCGTTTGTGGTTCCTCGCCTTGCGTTTTATTTCGGTTTGCGTGCACGGTATCTAGCCTTCGCGTTCATATTTGTCTGATGTGCATGTCCACATCTGTCCAGCTAACCTTTTACTTATTTCTGTACTTCATCACATTGTTTTTGTGCGTCTCCCGATGCTCGTACTATTCTCCGCGTGCTTAGGGCTGACTGTTTGTTGTGGATTCTCTTTGGTATCGCTTGTGTCGCTGTTTCGACCTGTGCCTCGTTTATGATGCGTCTGTATTTCATTGGTTGCACTTGACTGTGTCTTCCTATTTGTTGAATAGGGACGCTGACTGAGGGCAAAATGACGGCGACTCGTTTGGTTTCCTTCTCTCGTGGGAGCAGCATAAACGACAAAGAAATGAATATAGCAAAGACATTTGCTGTTTACCCCACAAAAGGTTTCGACCCTAGAGGAGGTTTCTTTGATGCAGAACTTCTAACAGAGCAGAAGAAGGTGCGTCTGCATTACCTGCCGGTGTCCTTTTTTCTTATCTCCGCTCTTGCTGTCTCCTTGCGCTGTGTCTCGTATTCTCGAAATCGCCGAGTTGGAATTAGGAATTTTCCTCATTCCAACTCGGCGATTTTGCTTCTGGGTACTTCTCGCTGCTCGTTGCCTGTGCATCTCTTTTTCAGTCAGTGGCTCTGTTCTTCCCTCTATTTCGGTCTCCTCGTCGATCCCCCTCTCTTGGGTTTGCCTTACTTGGTATATATTTCTTCTTCCTTGTATCTCTATTTTGTCTAGGTCTCTTTGTTTGTGTTTGACTTGCTGTATACTTCGCTTTCGCTTTCTCTTTTTCAGTATGTGTCTCCTTGGTTTTGCCCTGCTTGCTGTGTCTTTCTTCTTCTGTCTTCTTTCTGTATATGCCTCTTCAGTTTTGTTTTGCTTGCTGCCTACTTCTTCTCCGCTGTACTTTTCGCATTTGTTCTCTTCATCATGTCTTCCTTGCTACCCGTGTACCCTGTCTTTTTGTCTTTTCAGTCTCTACTTGCCGCACTTTCTGTATTTTCTGCTTCGTTGTCTTTTTCTTTTTTCGCTTCAGAACACTCTTGCTGCTCTCCACGGACAGGGCGCCTATGACTCCTTCGGCCAAATCCTCACGGACTACGGCTCGGCGGAGACGGCGCAGCGCGGCGCAGCAGCGGCAGCAGCAGCAGCGTCCTCTTCGTCTTCGTCTTCTTCTGCTCCTGCAACTGCTGCAGCGGATGCTACTGCTGCTGCTGCAGTTCGGGTGCGTGCGGTGCTGACCGCAGCGATGCTGAACTCCCATTCAACAAAGCTGGAGCAGGACCCTAAAACCAAACGATGGACTACCACTGGTAATATGAGCGAAGGTAAGCAAGTCTTCCCCCTCTTCTGTCTTCTCTTCCTTTTCTTTCTCGCTGTGTCTATTGACTTCGCTGCATCTAGTCAAACTTTTTGTGTTCCTGCTCACTCCTGCGCGTGCAGCTTTTCGTTGCCTCTGCATGTTTTCAACATGTTGCCTGCGCTTTCCTTCTGTGTCTGTTAACTCGGAGAGCAGCAGAGGATTAGTTGTTATCTGCTGCTTTTGTTTCTGTTCTTCCCCCTCCGTCTTTCTGTACACTGCTCGTCCTTGCTGCCCTCGCTGCCTTCGCCGCTCTGGTGGTCTTCTTAACTCTGTCCGACGCGTCGCCTCTGTCTGCCTTCGTATTTTTCTCTTTTGTTGTCGCCGAACATACATTTGCCCCCCTGGTTCTTTTTCTGGGGCTTGCTGGCTGCCCCTGTTGTTATTTTACGTTCTCATGACTGTATAACGTTTGCTGCTGCTCTGTTTTTCTCGTTTTTCTGCCGGCCAGCGTTGTGTTGAGTTGTGGAGCTGTATGCGTTGTTACCCTCTTTTCCTACAGTATTTTGGGTTGCTGTTCTCTCTCTCTCTCTCTCTCTCTCTCTCGTCTTCTTGCTTTCCTGGATTTTGGGGGGTTGTTGATCCGTCTATCTCATGCTTTGTCTGCTCCCCTGAACTTTTTGTGTTTAGGTGCACTGGTGGTAGCAGCAGCTAAGGCGGGTCTTACGGCTTCAATGCGTTCGCTATACCCGCGGGAGGCATCTTTGGAGGTTCCGTTCAACTCCAGCAGGAAAATGGCTGTCTCCGTGCACAAGCTGCAAACGCCTAATCAGTTTGCAGATATTCTGCTCACAGATGACGGCAAAGTGTACACTCATGTCGCTGTTGTCAAAGGTGCACCAGATAGGGTACGGCGTAGGCGAAGGGTGGAATTGGGATTTGGGAGGTAACACCGTACGGTGCATGGGGATTAGTGTACAGCTCTTCCGTGTCTGCTGACTGATTAGTATTCATCTTTGGCTGTCCTTCATTCATTTAGGGTGCGAAGTTTGAAGGGGGGCTTACGAGATGAGCGTTATCTCTCTGTCACGTGCATGCATGGGCGTCTTTGCACTTGTTTCTGTGTTTCTTTGCGTACACCAGCTGTTCCCGTACTTGGGTTTCTGTGTGGCCGAGAACGGGGGCGTCTCCAGCATCGGGTGGCACTCGCCGCTGACGGAAGAAGAAAAGGCAGAAATAAAAACTGCAAATGATAAATTGTCTTCTGCTGCTCTCCGTGTCCTCGCGGTGGCAATAAAGCCTCTTACAGAGGAGGACATTGAAGAACTCAAGGGATGCGCCGGCGCCGACGAGAGGCTGCATACCGTTGTTGATGAACCGCCCCGTGTATGCCTCAAACCCCAACTCTTTTTCAAGAGTTGCTTCTGATGCGGCTGTCTGTGGCTTCTGGTTTGTATTCCTTGCAATTTCGTTCTGTGTTTCGGTATGTCTTTTGCTAGCTTGTCCGTTTGCGTTGCTTTGTCTCTTCATGCCCTGCTTCTGACTGTCTTCTGTCTATCACAGTACGCTTTCTGTCCATAGTCTTATTGCGGATCTTGTTTCCACGTCATATGAATAGCTTGCGTTTGTTTTCTCCTCTTTCGCTCTAGCACTGCACACGTTCTTTATTGGTACTTCATTATCGTGACCCCCTGCGACTACATTTCCGTTGTTTCTCTCTTTTTCTCAGCGGTTGACGGTACTGGGGCTGGTGGGCTCTTTAGATCCGCCACGTGCAGGTGTACGCGAGGCGGTGAGGGAGTGCCATGGGGCTGGCGTTCGAGTGGCAATGATTACAGGCGATCAACTCCCCACTGCGTGTGCGATTGCCAAAGACATCGGAATTCTGACAGAGACCGAAGACGCCAGCAAAAGATCCGTCACTTGTGCCGTCCTGCACGAAGACGATGACCCGTCGCTGCCGTATAAACCCAGCGAGGAAATTGACCAGCTCGTAGACGGGTGGGAGGTGATAAGTATTTGTCATGTTGCAGCGGTTTATTTCTTCATTTTTATTTACTGCAGTAATAATGAAGTTCATGTGTGGTATGCGAACGGGAATCAAAGCGGCAGTTATTTGCACTCGGTTATATGTCCGCTTCTTGAAGCGAAATCGTTGCGGTGGTCTTCTGAATCGGCACACAATAAGTAGTAAATGCGGCAATAGCTGCGCTAAGATTCGTAAAGGTGGTCATTATGGTATTGGCAGTCGTCGCACAGCGGAAAGGAATCAAGGATCGTGGAGGGAACACGATCCTTGATTCCTTTCCGCTGTGTGACGACTGCCAATACCATAATGACCACCTTGGTTGCCTTTTTCTTCAACCTGCCTGCATTCTTCTCTTTTCAGTCTCCATATGATTACGCGTTTGTGCCTATCTTCTTTTGCAAAAATATTGCTATCATTGTCTGTTTCGATAGCTTTTCCAGTGGCTGTTTATAGTGTTGTTGTTATGCTCGTTGCCTAAATACCACACTCCGGTTTCTGTGGTTATCTCCGCCTACAGAGTTCGCGTCTTCGCCCGAGCTCAACCAGAAGACAAATTCTGGCTGGTCTGCTGCCTCCAGCGTCTGGGCCACACGGTCGCGATGACAGGGGACGGGGTGAACGACGCACCGGCACTTAAAGCAGCGGACATTGGAGTTGCAATGGGCGTCTCAGGCACAGACGTTGCCAAAGGAGCTGCTGAAATGATTCTCCTAGACGATAACTTCTGTACTATTGTCGCAGGTAAGGCGCGGCGCTGGTCATACTTATATTGATAGTGCCATTCCAATTTCTGCTGCTGCTCCTCTGTGTGCTGCTAACTTTGCTGCTTAAGATGCATCTAGGATTTAGTGCCGGGAATGCGGCGATTATCGCTGCCAGTGCTGTTGCTGACTGGCCGGTGCATTTGCTGCTGCTTCAGCTGCTGCTGTGCGAACACATATGCAGGATGGAGTGCTCCTGGTGACATCTTTGTGTTTATTTCGTTGCAGCTGTAGAAGAGGGACGGAAGATCTACGGAAACATTCAAAAGTTCGTCTGCTTTTTGTTGGGTACAAACATCGGCGAGATTATTTACCTTACCATCGCCATTGCCGCCTCCATGCCGTTACCCCTTGAGGCCCTACAGGTGGATTCTGTTCAGCTTTCTTTGCTCATGCATTCGTTGCTTTCATGCTTGTCCTGCCCTCCGCGATTTTTGCCCCCTGCGTCGCATGTTTGTCCGTCATTGTGTCTTGTCTTTTGCATGGCTGACTTTCTCGCTTCTGCCGTGTGTCTCGTTTCCTCTCTCTGCTGTGTGGTATGCCTTTGCTGCCAGTCAAGTCTTTCCCTCTCTCTTCGTTTCCCTAGCTTCTTTAAAACGCTGTTGTGCCTCGGTTTGTTGTTCCTTCGCGTTATTTCCCCGTCGGGTCTCTACGTCTTCTGGTGGTAGCCATTTTTGGGGACGTGTTCATGCTTACTTCCTGTCTCTTCTCTCGGCGTTGTTTTGTATCCCTGTTCTCGCCCGTAACTTTTTGCTTGTACTGCACTATACCTTCTTCTGCCCGTCGCATTCTCCTTCCTCGTTTCTCTTATTGCTTACCATGTTTGATTTTATCTCCTTCCGCAGGTGCTGTTTCTAAACTTGATGAGTGACGGATGCCCTGCAGTGGCGTTAGCAAAGGAACCTCCTGATGAGGATAACATGAGCGTACGCTTGCAAACCCTTGATTGTAAACCCTAAACCCTAGATGCCGACGAGCCAGAAAGAGAAGGGAGTACAGATGTTATTTTTGCTGCTTTATTTGGCTTCCTCCATCAACGTTTTTCTATCATTCGACTGCTCGAACAGCCAGCACTCGCTAACGCCTTGAAGAGCCAGAACTTGGACCGCTATCGATCGCTGCTTTTTTGCTTGTTTTACTGTCTTCAGGTGCCTCCTCGCAACCGCAAGCAGCCGATCATGACAAGGGACTGGTGGTTGTTTGGCAATTTGCCGCACACTCTATTTGAAGCTGCATGCGTTTTGTTGTCGTTGGCGATGGGGCTTTATCTGTGCACCGGCAGCATTCTTCTAAAGGACTTAACCAACAAATGCCAGACTGTCACGGTGGTTGACAGCGTTGGAGTAAGCTAGCAGATGATTCTGTTCTTTGTTTGCTATTTTCTTATCTGTCCGTGTGCATGATTGTTTCCCTTGGTGTTCCTTTTATCTCCTTCACTTGCCTGTGCTTTTGCCTGCCTCTGGGTGTGCTTGCGTGGCCTAGTTTCGTCTGTTCGCTTTCTCTCGTTGCTTCCTCGATCCTGTTTGCGTTTTTATTGGCATTTGGCTGTCTTCTTGTCGGCGACTATCTCGTCCCCCTTTTTGACGCTGCTTTATGCGGTGCAACTAGCTGGTTTTGTGTGCTGTTGTACTTGCGCCTCCGGCCTTGTGTGTGTATGTGTGTGTCTATTTGCATTTCGGTGTCTTAGTTGTATGGCACAGGCGTTCGTTTCTGCTTTGCTCTCCGTGTTTCTGTCTTTACTTGTTCTTATCTATCTGCTTGCGTTTTAGTTCCTTGTTTCGTGGTCCCTCTGTTTCCTCTTGCTTCCCTCAGTTTGTCCTCTGTTAGTTCATTTGTTTTCGTTTGCCCCCTCTCATTGTTCTTTATTTGTTCGCGTTTATTGCTTTTCTCTGTTTGATGCAGCACGAGAGCAGTTTGCGTTATTTCTGCTACTCAAACGAATATCGGGTGTCTTCGGATTACGTCGGCTGGGTTACAAACATTGACTACTTCAGTCCTTCCAGTATGACAAGCCCCCCCGTCTGTACCTAATGAGAAACATATATATATGTATATATATATATATATATTTGTTTTCTTGATGTACAAGCCTTGATTTTGTCCTAGATTCCTTCTGCATGCTGTCGGCTGGTTTTCCCTGGTGTTGTCTTGGTCTCGCTTGATCTTGTTTGTTTTGTCCTTTTATTCTCCACCGTCTGGCTTTGACCCTGTGCTTTGCTTTTCTTTGGCTTTTTATTGTACATACCTCTTGCTTCGTCAGCACATATTAGCTTGCACACTATGCGTGCATAAGCGTAACTTTCCTACAAAAAGGCACGGCCAACGCAGGATCTCGATTTGCACGCGCTCATGAATGGTTGTAAACAATACCCATGTTGTGTTCAATGTAATATATTATTATGGAAAATGTTGCAATATATTGTAATATTCTACAAATATTGTTGCGCGTGCGAGTATTAAAGACAGTGTGTAAATCCTTTAGTAGAATGTAACGAGAAAGTATTTAGTAGACGTGCACCAGCATTATTCCTGACAGGCATGTATGTGTTCATGCGTATGCGTGTGTATTTTGTGCAGAAGGGGAGATAGTGCAGGTATTGGGTGCCGCTCGTGGGAAGCACAGCGATTTGTCTGCTTCGTCTTCTTTCTTGCTGCCGTCTGTTGCTGAGGACATGGCTAAGGGTTGTCCTGAATCGTTGCTAGAAGATGAGTTAGGGTGGTGCAGACCACCAGACAGGGGGCTTTGGGAAGGAGGAGATAATGCCTCCCCCTTTGGGCTCATGCCGAATAAGTATTTCGATGTCTCATCCAGAGGCGCAAAGATGGCGAGGACGTGCTCATTCATCTCCGCCGTTTGGTGTGAAATGCTTAGGGCATACACCGTGAGTTGTAGTTCAGTTGTATGTACGCCACACGACACCTCTTCTACATACCCGTGAAGAGACGCTGACCTCGTCTGGCGCTCTGGCTATTAACAGTGCTGCTGCTGCAGCTGCAGCTGTTCACCTGATTCTGCTGCTGTGGGTTATTTTTCGACCCTCCCGGTGCTGATATCGTTGCCGAAGCTTTGCATGCTTATTCAGCGCTGTTGTCAGGCTTTCTCCTTCCCTGGCTTCTGTATTGCGTGCCTGCGTCTGACTTTTCCTTTTTCCAGTTTACCCCTTTAGTACATTCCGCTCTTTGTGACTTTTTCTGCCTCATAGCTGAGTCGTGCTTCCCTTCTCACCCCCTGTTTGTTTCTCTTGAGTTGGGTTTTCGCTTGCGTATGGTGTTTTTCTTGCTTCCCTCTCTTTCTGTAGAAGGCACAGGGTGTGTTTGATCCTCTTCTTTGTTGGTCTGCGTATATATTTCATCTTTTGGATAGTGAATTTTTAAATAAGGGGGCGCATTGGATGAATGCGTGCATTTCTAGTTCGCGTTTGTGCCTCTCTGCAGGTCCGTACATGGGAGTGGTTTTTCAAGGCGTTCAACCGAAACCCGTGGATGCATTTGGCGTGTTCAATATCTGCTTCTCTCACCTCCTTGCTGACAATTATTCCTGGGATTAGTTCGGTGTTCAGCGCTTCGCCTTTGTCGTGGTGGCTGTATCTGTTTGCTATTGGCTGTGGCTTCCTTAATCTGATTCTCGATGAACTTATACCCAAGCCCCTCTACAGGCAATACAGAAGAAACAAATTAGTCAGTCCACACAAGTGCTGATTATGATGCGCTTGATGCTGCTTTCTAGAACTACTGACGCGGCTTCTGGCTGCTGCAGTTTTTTTTTTAGGACGCTCCCACTTTGCTTTTGATTTGACTGGCTGCTGCTGTTGCTGCTGTTTCGGGCCTGTTGACTCTTTGCTATTTTGAAGTGCTTATGTGTGTCTCGTGCTATTGTTCAGAGGAAAGAAACTGACCTAAAGAAGGTCGTCTGAGCCGTCGGAAAATGACCGTTGAGGAAGGGAAACAAATGTGCAGCAGCTGCAGCAGCAGCATTTTGAACATCAGCGGCCTTACCAGCAGCATCTACGGCGCCCACAGCAGGAGCAGCACCAGTTGTTTTGCAGCTGTTGTCTTGACGAGCAACTATAACGAGCTGCAGCGCGAAAGACACGCAGATGGTTGAGGGATAAAGGTTGTCGCCTTTAATATATGTTCACTTTGCTCATATTTTATATTATGCATTAATAACAGCGGCGAACACAGCCGGAACCAAACCCAATCCAATGCTGCTGCTGCAGGAGCAGTAACAGCAACAGTGGTTGTTTCAACAACATGTACGGCACACGGGCATCTGCAACAACGTATCCAGCAGCAGGCGCAGCAATAGCAAGAGAAACAGAGGCAAAATCATATACAGCAGCAATTGCAGCGGCAGTGGGTGGGGGAGCCGGTCGCTGCTTGCCAGGGATATATCTTGCTTTTCTGTTCTCCATCGCTTTCTATTGCATAGCGTGCAATGTGGATAGTCAGACATTCTCATGTGTGCACCCAAAGGCGCTTGCTCGCTATAAGCGCATCTGTTGTGCCTCAGCTATATATATATATATATATATATATATAT